TAAGATTTCATGAAAATAAATAAAGTAAAACTTTTTTGTAAGCCCTCGTTTCTTCCAGTGCTGCTTCCATTCTCTTTCGCAATCCTTGGTGCAGCAGAAAGGTTAAAGACATTAGGGATCGCAGAGGCTTCAAAATTTATTCTAAATGTAAACAAAAAATTAGAATCCTACTTGCAAAACCCAAAAATTTTGGGGACTGTTACATTAATAGCAGTTATTCCCTAAGGACAGAAAATGAGCAAACTGGCGCTCTTTTCTATTTTAAAAACATCCTCACATGCCTTACTGAGTATTATTAATTCCCTCCGTACCCGCAGGAGGAGAGTCATGTGCTAGAGCTGAGAGGGTGACAGAATGAGGAGCGGGGGGCCAAAATTACTCACAACTATGCCTTAGTTACATTCACTGCACACAAAATATATCAATCAGTTTTTCATTTGAGGCCATTTGAGGCTTTCATTACTTGTTCTTTTCCAGCCCACTTCACCTTCTTGGTGGTAGGAAGAACGATTATTGATCTCAGTGCGGTGTCACCCTTTTTGAACGGTTTGTACTTTCATCTAGGAACACATAACACCTACAAACATGATAATATTACGATTGCAGAGCAAAGACGCTGGTCTTAATTAAAGCAATGAACTTTTATTCAGGTTATTTAATGGTATCATTTTGAGCACTCTTATTTTGTGGGTTTTCATTCTCTCTAGATTCAACATCTTTGGCTAGACACCAAATAACAACAGCCGGATAAAAGTAAACAGAAGAAATTTTAGAAATTCGTTTAAATATGCCTTGGAGAAATGTTAAAAAAGTTTGGCACAAGGTAGTACATTCAAAATGAGGTTATGTAGATAAGCTTGTGAATGAGACTTATCACGTTTGCGTTCTTACGCGTTTACGCATAGATAGAGGTGTCTCTATGACACTATTTTGACAAATCTATAATTTGTAAAGACGAACCCGAACAAAAATAAAATAACAACAGCAGTGTCTTACCTCCGCGAAGTCGACACAACCACAAACGAATTGAACTCTTTACGACGCAGCAAACAACTCTGTTGCCCGTAGTAGTCTCGTTGCCGGGTATGGTACATGCGCCCGCTTCCACTTGCGCTGGCGAGGGGGGCTTGGACGAATGAGGATTCGTCATTCGTCCAAGCAGGGGGTATCGCCGCTCAGCGCTCAGGCGCTGAGGGTAGGCCACTATCTCCACACACACATTTGGCGGGAAGGCCTACCCGACGCGCCGCAGGCGTTGTCACTCGGAATCGAAAAAAGTTACAGAGATTAGTCTGGCTGAGTTATTTATATTGCCAAATTTGAGCATATGGCACACAATAGATAGTTCCCGCAGTGCGCGTTTCGAATTAAGTTCACTGATTTCGAGCGGTTCGACGTAAATGACCTAGAGTAACTCCCTTTATTTTTTAAAAATAAAAGATTTAAAATGTTTTGGGTGTAAATTTTAGAAAAATTACAGCGGGGTAAATTGAGGCATCGGAAAACTGCCATAGGTTCTAAAACACCCCTGTCGTAAACAGTGACTTTAGATGGAGAATAAAGGTTGGGGCCTGAGAGAAAATCATTCAAGCTTACTCAAACGGACTTTACAATAAAATAAAATAACTGGACCAACGGTAGTCACTGTGACGCCAACTCAACTTGTATCTGATGATTCCACGGGCTGCACGGCTGATGTCCAGGACAGGTACACCCCCACCCCGATCTTCCTGCAAGAAATCAAAGAATTTTAGTCAAAGAAGCAGGATGTAAAGGAGTCAGGAAGCACGCAATTTCGACAGAGGAGGTCAAAGGCGACTCTCCCAGACCAATCCCGACCATTTCCAGCGATTTTTATTTTTTTCATTTTTGGCAAAATGTACAAAGGCTATA